GATCTGTTCAAACCGTCGTGCGATGTTGCTTGCAAATTTCGCTCTCTTGTCCACCAAACATAATTTTTCGTATGTGATTCCCTGGTTGCTTCTGTCAGTAGATCTTGGCACGGTACAGGATTTCTTACAAAGCCTGCCAACAACAAGGTGATGATCGGTTGATAGCTCTGCGCCTCTCTTAACACGAACATCTTTTACTGAGCGTCTTAAGTGAGACGATACGAATATCAAATTGATCATCGACTTCTGTGCACAAGCTTCCCCGTACCAGGTACACTGCTGCATGCTACGATGGTAAAAGCGTTAAAAACAATCAGTATCACCCTGCCATTTGTCGATAACCGCAACAGTTTCCTACTGTAGTTGTAGAGGTGGCTAGGAATCGTTCTTTCCAGTCTTGTCTTTCTACTTTCAAGTGTCTGGCATGACATGTTGGTTGAAGTGACCAGATTGAATGATGAATTTCATGGCCTTCACTTCATACGTAGCATCTTATACGATCTCCATGCAGGCCTTATATTCATCCACTGAATTGGGACTTTGATATGTTAAAAGGTGAAAACTATGGCCTGTTGTAACTTCAGCCGCATGACTGTCACTGTTCCGCTTATAGGCTTCCATTCAATGATTCTGTCAGCTAGGAAAAAGAACACCAGCATCGGGCTGGGAGCACGTGGTGATGTCGACACCTGTGCAGAATGGCTCCCAGCCGCCAAAGCTCAGAATTCCAGAACCATGGCATTTCTTTGACGAGAGTCCGTCTGTGTCTAGTCCATACTTTTTGCTTTCATCAGCTAGCTTGTGCTCCTTCCATCATAGTGAACATTTGTTTCAATGTTTGACTGGGCGCCCACTGTCGGTATATTTCCCGTGGAACCCTAGCTGACCTTATGTAATTGCACTCGGCTGTCTGCCTTTTGTGTTCAGGATGTATTGTGGTCGGTTGTTGTTTGGCATCTTCGTCTTCTTGTTGTCAATCATCTGCAGCCATTCACGTAATGCCACGCACTGAGGCGAAACGCAGGACCCAATTGGTGATGTTTTGCAGTCTGTGCCAGTCCCGCAACCACCCTTGCGACCCTTGATAACTGTGGTGACGATACCCGTACGTCTATTTAACCTTCGATGGCGGAAATATCATGAGGGAAAAGTGGCTTGGCTTTATATGAGACCTTCACACGGTCCTTTACCCGCTTGCTTCCCTGGAGTTCGAGAGTTGTCACAACCGGCGAGAAGATCTCAATGCAAGATGGAACTGCCGCTGACTCCGTAACAACCAGTTCAGTCTGCAAGATGTTAAGGTAGGCTATGGTTCAAGATGGACAAGAGCAGCGGAAAAGACTCTTGCTTGGATTTCAGCAGTACTTTACTATAGGTTAACGCTACTTCAGTTACTGATACGATAAAGCATCAGATCGATGGGACGATTACCCCCTCCCCATATGGGCTACTATTATTGAATTAGAGAGAAGAAAAATCAATATGAATGACATAACAAAATCTATGAAGAAACATTCATCTCACGTATTTGATGACCAGGATCAGATTGATGTTTGTGAAACACGTTGCTTAGTCGTCAATAAGTGTACAACATGCTTTTTTCTGTTTTTCTGGAGAATAATCTCGCAAAAGGCTAGATTTCACAACATATTTCCCAGTTCTACTGTTCTAATTGTATAGAGCGCTATTTAAGCAGGCAACTGTTCCCTGGTGTGAACTTAAGTTATTAAAAATGAATCTCACATCACTTTTTTCACTGAAGCTGTTTATTTCTATTACGACTGGTATTTCAGAAGCTGGTACTCATCACGCGCTATCGCATTATCATCCAATTATTGGCTAGAATACCAGAGCATCTCAGTTGTCTATTTATTAATTTAATAGAGAATTGCAGTTTTTTAAAACTGGAGTTAAACTCCTCAATTATAGACTTCAGGGCTATTTGTTTTGTACATCGTTTTAATACGAAGAATAATATTTATACATGAAAACAACAATTTTGCCTGCCCATACCAGTGTCCAGATGGATTTCGTAGATTGGAGCCGCTTTCATCGTCACTGTCTGTCCAGCAATGTTCTTCCCTATAAGCACAGCGTCGTGTATCAACGTGCAGACTGACTGTTCAACTGCAGAAGTTCAAAGGAAGGCGATCTAAGTTTCGTAGCACAGGACCGCCGATATATTTATACAAGATGTTCTTATGTTAAGCCATGATAGTAACTGCTTGTACGTGCTGTTACGCAGTGTAAAGCGAAACTCGATAGCGCAGAAAAAAATGACTCGTGAACGCTGCAAACTTTGGCGTTTGCGCTGCTGGACTGTGAAACTTGGAAGTAGATAGTCTTCTGATTTTTTGGCAAGGTTTTGCTTTCGTGGACGTGGTCCTTCAACGTAAGTTTGGCGGCAAAAGCAGAATCCACCACTCGGTAGCCACGATTTAGATTACAACCAAGTAAAGCTGCATTCAACGCCTACAGTTTACGATAAT